CACACACACACACACATACACATGCACGCACGCACGCACGCACAACTGCACATCTCTTGAATACTGCCATGCACACACACGCACACGAACACACATACACACACACACACACACACACACACACACACACTCACACACACACACACACACACACACACACATAACTTTTACATATATCACGGCTCTAAGAGCAAAAAGGGCCTCAGTATTTGCTTTAATAATCCGCAATGCAAGAACTTCAGCCCATTTAATGGTTTACGATAAAAGAAATCGTGACTACTCTGTTAGCTTAAGATTTTCAAGCACGGTTCGGTCCGTTTGGGAGCAGCGGAGTTGCGAAATCGTTTCTACTAAGACTACAGATCAGACACACGGTTACGGGCCTAGTGGAGGGAGTCGAAATCACAATGTACTTTTTACCTACAATTCTTTTTCTTTTGACAGAACAAAACCATCACTTTTCTGAATGTTGTAGGCTAGCGTTTATTTTTTTTCAGGCCCGTGCTTAGAAATTAATGTTTATTTTTAAAATAAATTCTTTTTTTTTGTTTGTATCTTATTCGATCATAAGGCTATTCAGTAGGTAGTGTCTTTTGTGTTTTGTTTTGCGATTAGTTTAGCTTTGTTTTTTAAAAATATTTCTTCATCGTACCCAGCCTGGAGATACAGCTATGTGAAATCTGGGTCGGTCGTGACGTACCCAGGAAACGTGTTGAGTTATGTCCTGGATCTGATCGCTTATGGCCTTACTTGTGCTGGCAGAGCTGCAGAGTGGAAGTTTTCGTAAATCTGTGACTTCTTTCGAGCCTGGAGAGTAGCGCTGGGCAGCAGCGAGGTTCCCGATCATTGAAAGCAAAGAATCGTAGGAATTGACTCCGAATCCAATTACTTACTTTCTCATGATGTGATTTCTTCCGGTGGTTATCTGGTTGGCTCCGAACATCTTCAGGATTTAGGATAACCTTGATTTCAGAACACTACAAGGTATCAACTTTTTTTCTTCAAAAAACATAATTGATTGAAAAAAAGATTTTCATGATTAAAGTAACTGGTAACTGTTGGTTTACGTAAAAAGGAGTCTTTTCTTTTCTTCCGTAGCATTAATCGTGGGAATCGGTTCTGGAATCGCTTCTTCGCCCAGCAGAGCTCTACTGGAGAGAAAAAAAAAAAAGAGGAGTAAATGAAATCCAGGCTGATGATAAATATTTGTGAAATACTAAATTTCCTTTCAGTTTAAGAACTTGTTTGTGATACGTTACAGATTTGACTTTTGTGTTCGTGAAGGAGATTTATGAAGAAACAGGTGAGTTAGTAGGTCTTCATGGTTTTAAAAAATTATGAGAGAGAGAGAGAGAGAGAAAGGGAGGATAGAGAGAGAAAGAGAGAGCGAAAGAGAGAGAGAGCGAGGGGGAGTGGAAGAGAGAGAGAGAGAGAGAGAGAGAGAGAGAGATAGAGAGAGGGAGTGAAAGAGAGAGAAG